AATAGCAACAGTTGAAACATTACAGATTTAAATACTATTTTCCCAAAAATCCTCAGCCGACCTTTACCACGTGATTTTGGTTATTAGGCGTGCCACTTGCTTTGTTTAAAAACAAGAAAACTGAATTTTCCAAACTACCATTCTCCTTTCAAGCGATCGACCATCCTAGAAAAAACGTCTGTGAAATGAATTGCACCCTAGACGATATTTTGTAGAGTTCTGCAAAATGGGTTACTAATTGCCTTGGAAATCTCCAAGGACTTCACAACCAAACAAGTGTAATAAAAGCTACAAATCCTAAAATAAATGCAATATCTTAAAGCAATTAAACTAACATGAAGTAAATAACAGAAAATAACATGCCATTAAGATTAAATTCACAAACAACAAAAAAAGTAAAATAACAGATAATAATTTCAACTACGCAGCCCATAATGATTAAACTAATTACTGGCAGAATTAAAATAAAAATAGTTAAACTATTTGATAACTAAAGCTGAAGAATAAACTATGAAATGATTAAAGTTTGGAAATTTATAAAATTAAATCTGAAAATTGAAATTAAATAAACTGCATGTCTGGATATTGTGCAGAAACAAAAGAACAAAGGTAGAAAACGTTCAACCGATGCTTCTTCAGCTTGGGCTAATAAGTGGTACTCTAAGCCCGTTATGCATAGTCCTGTTTGGGCGTTGGGTCTGCTAGGCCTATTCCAACAGGTTCCAATTGCAATATTGCGCTGACCTGTTCAGCTGCCTATTTTAAATGCTCAAGCTATTATCCTCTGAAATTATACATTTCATTTCTGCAGCAACAGTAATTTAGGAAGCAACAATTCCAATCCGAATGGAAGCTCTACCAGTAATCATCACATAAAAGAAACAACAAAAAAAGGGGGAAATTTCAAGACTAACGTTGAGCAATATTCTATTACTTGAAATTAGAGTTTACAAATTACAAGCGAATCAACAATCTAATTCTAAAACAACTATATCAACCAAATCTGAACTCAATCTAACGCCATAATAAGGCAAATGCTATAGAAAGAACAAACCTAACCACCAAAACCATAGAGAGTCCTGCCCTGCCTTTTCAAGGCATAAACAACATCCATAGCAGTGACCGTCTTTCTCCTGGCATGCTCAGTGTAGGTTACGGCATCACGAATCACGTTTTCCAGGAAAATCTTCAAGACGCCTCTTGTCTCCTCATAGATCAAGCCACTTATCCTCTTGACACCACCCCTGCGAGCCAGACGGCGAATGGCGGGTTTGGTGATACCCTGGATGTTATCCCTCAGGACTTTCCTATGCCTCTTCGCTCCTCCCTTTCCCAAACCCTTGCCTCCCTTTCCTCGCCCAGACATTTTTGGGAAACACTTTTCAGGCGAATGGTTTTGTAGAAAGAAAGAAAGAATAAACTGATGGAGAATCGATTGGCTTAGGGAATATTTATATAGCTATGGAGGGAATCGGTTTTCGAATTTTCGGGTGTTAAGCGGGTTTTAACATGTGCCATTGGATTAAGTTTTATCAACGGCTGCTAGAGTCGATCCGCGTGAAAATTTAGATCGTTTCATAACCGTTGATAGAACTTCGATCCACGGTTAACAAACAATATAGGATTGTGGCACGACTTGCGCATTCTGTAAAGCGGAATGTTAATCTTAGTCGTCCACTTGGCTTTATATCAACGGATGAGATAACCCATCTGATTGCCCGATCTCCAAAAATAACTGATTTTTTTACTCAAACATTTTTTATATTTTCTAAGATAAATAAATATTTTGTTTAATTGTAATTAGATTGTTATTGCTTAATTTCAGTAATTCATATTACTACACAAAATTTCTTATTTATCTTTATTTTATAAATTGCCCTTGAATTCTTATTTACTTACATGAAAAATGTGAAAAAATTGACAATTATTTTAACATAAAAAAAACTTTAAACGATTATATCAAATGCTCATAAATTTGTAACAATTATGGCATGCTTCAAATTCCAATTATTAAGGATAATTTTGATTTGATGAAAATTAAATTCAAAGCAAAAACTAAAATAAATGACTTCTTTCCTCTCCTTTTTTTTTTGTTAAAACTTCATTTTGGTACCTGAACTATTATATGAATTTTCAATTTGATCCTTAAACTAAAAAAATTTTTAATTTGGTCCTTACTGTTTACCATTTTGACCCGATTTGGTCATTTCATTAAAAATCTCATTACGTGTGCTGTTAATTCACTGTTATGAGATGATATGGTAAAATATTAATACACGTGGTAAAATAAATAATAATATAAAAATAATAAAACATAAAAAATTCTTTTTTTTTTCTTTTTGCTTTTCTTTCCCTTTCTCATTACCCTTCCCCCTTAGAACCCATCGAACCTAGGAGCCACCGCTGAGTTTGTTAGAACCCTAGTGTTGGGTTCGTTCAAACCCTAGCATTGGGTTCCAAGGAACCCAAGCGCTAGGTTCCCAAATGAACCCAGTGCTAGGTTTGAAAAAAAATTATGTTTTTTTTTTTTTTCATGGGTTTTGTTGTTTGATGATGAAAAAGAATTGATTGATGAAGAATGAAATTCTATATCATTGAATTAATTGTTTGACTTAGAAAAATAGTGATAAAAATTGTTCCGAAGGAGGCAAAGAGAGGGAAAAAGAAAGATGAATGAAGAAGATTCGAAGAGAGGATGCTTGAGGAAGAAAACAAGGGTAAAATTGTAATTTTGATGGGTTAAATGGCATGAATATAACTTGTTATGTTGCCATGTCATCATTTTGATCTGACGTGTATAAAATTTTTGCCATGTCATTAACTCACTATAAGTCAACGGTGGATATTTAACGAAAAGACAAAATCAAGGTCAAAATAGTAAATAATAGGGACCAAATCAAGATTTTTTTAATTCAGAGACCAAATCAACAGTCCATACAATAGTTCAAGGAGCAAAATGAGATTTTAACTTTTTTTTTTTTTTAACAACCAAATGGAGGAAAGGTCTCCCCTCCCTAAACCCAACATAACCTAAATTAGTTTCCATTCTTTTAACATCTACCTTCATATCATGAATAATGGTAATCCATACCATCCAATTCTAATTCTTTTATTTGCAAAAGAATTGATGTGCTTGCACCTAACACAATAAACTCTCATGCACGGTGACCACTATTCCCTGTTCGCCCGTGGCATTAACCCCAAGAGATCAAAGAAATATTTCAAAGAGGCCAATGAGACATCAAAATGAATTAACCGCCATTTGCCACTTTGTTATCAATTTCATTTCAAGAACATAACTCTTGATCAAGTAGACAGGCGAATATTGCAATCATAAAGGTGTTTCGTGAAGATAAGAACCAAAAACAGAGTATCTAGAACAGCTTTCTTCTGTTATTGTAGCTCATAAAAAGCAAAAGCAACTGCAAGCAACCGTTTCAGGATGATTGGAGCAACTACATTGGCTTTTAGGTATCAATCAATTCACCTGCACAACAAAAAGGAAAAATGGAGCAAGGTCAGATTCAAATATGGTCTTAAATTTTGGATACACATCTACAGATGCCATTGTTTATAGAAGCATACCTCCAGACAAAAGCATGAAAAAAAGGTTATTTGACTGATTTACAGAAACATATCCGTTTCAATTATTCGAAAAGCATATATATCATAAGATACAAAATTTACAGCTATTCTTTTTCTTCAAAAAATTGTACAATCACACAGTAAACATGAAATGGTAAAAGAACCCCTTATCTGCAGCATCATCAACAAATGAAATCAACACTAAAAACTATACAACATCAGGTAAAGATCTGAGAAAAAACAGTATGACAAAGATTCAACAAAGTAATGAAAATAAAAGCTGTAGTCTCCTTAAACTTAGAATAATAGCACTCAGATATCAGTGTAATTCAATGAAAATGGGAACAATTACTTAGACATGAAATTGGATTCCATTTCCATCAATCCTGTTTTCCGATATCAGTGTAAGGAATCAAACACGAAATGCATCTTCACGATCACAATTCCAAAAAATTAACACGAAATGATAATGGAAATGAACAACGGAAATTCAGAATCTAGGGTTTACTCACCTATGATGCCTCTGAACGAATTTCGACTCCTTTGCTTGTTCCTCTGCGAAACCAATTAAGAATAGATTATCAATAACATTAATACGTATATAAACATCGCTACATAAATACGTCCGTCAACGGATCGAGAGCAACGATACCAGTGAGGCTGAGGGAATGCTTGGTGATGATGGTTCCGGTGATGGCGAACCCGACCAGGAAAGGCCAGTTGCGGTTCCATTCTCGCTTGAAGAAGACGGACCACGGATCGAACCACCTCTTCATCCTTCTTCCTTCCTTCTGCACCACTTTGCCGAGTTCCAACTCTAGTCTCTGTTCTTCGATTTGTCTACATATAATGTGGAATTTAATTTTAAGGTGATAGTTTATTGTAGCCGTTCGATTTCGTCTTCGGGCAAAAGGATCGGATGGTTTTGATTGAGCTAGAGCGGCTGGGCTTCTTCTTGGACTTGACTGGGGCTCAATGAAACTTGATCCAGTTCGAGTATGCTGAACTCAATGGGCCAGTAAACCCAACATCAATAGATCTAGTTTACTTACGAGCGTGAATCACATATTAATGGGCTCCTACAATTTTATAGTTTTTTTCTCTTTTTTTTTTTAAGAATTAATTTTCTTTTTGGCCATTTTTAAAAGAGTTAATTTGCAAAGTTTTTTTTTTTGTTCATGAACAAAGAGCAAAGTTTCTCGTCAGTCCTATATCCTAATACTTAATAGTTTGTTTGCTTTGAAGGAGGAGGAAAAAATTATTATAATTAATTAAATTATTTTATTTGTCTAACGTTTTAATTTAATTAATTGAAATAAGACTATTTTTTGTTTCCTCTTCTTTCATTTGTTTCCTACAAGTTAAATACCTTATAAAAATTAAGGGTTTTTTGTTTTACATAAAAGATCTATTTTAAAACTACATAATTTCAAAAAAGAACTTTCAATTCTTTTTAAAAATTATGTAATAAATACCCTTCAATTCATCTAATTGCATAATTTATAAAAGAGAAGTGAATGATGTTTATTACGACCATAATGTTACTGATAAAGTAAAAAAAAAAAAAAAGAGAGTTCATTAAAAGAATGACAAGAAAATGTATAAGATATCAAAGAGGAGGAGAACTCCTGTAACTTTATATTAAATAAATTTTCGCAACAAAATTCAGGGCAATAATTCAACTCTTGTTCACTAAATTCACGACCAATAATAAAGAGTTCCACATTTTTCAAAATCCATGATTCTTTTTATTTTCTGTGACATGATTAGGAAAATAATGAGACAGAAGACAAGACACAATCTGAAACTGGGGACGTAAACAAACACAGATGGCTGTTGTCTTTTATGACACCTCCCCACCATGACCACTCTATATCACCCCAGCACTAATGTAAGTTTCAGTTCACGCTTTTTTGGAGACTCCAAGCCTTAATCGGAAGTCCTCCTCCATAAGGGGAAGACCATCCCGCAACTTGACTTTTGGCTCCCAACCTAGCAATTCTTTTGCCTTTGTGATGTCAGGCTTCCTCTGTCGTGGATCATCAGGAGTGTTCTCCACCATCCTTATCTCCACATCAGGATTAATGAGCTGCAAACACAACATCGTCAGTCATTTAGTATAATACTGAAAACTTTACAGGAACTGCAATGCACTCTCGTGAGTCCCCTCGGACCATTTTTCGCTTATCAGAGTTAAAAGGAAGGTATGGATTATTGCTCACTTGACTTTTGACAGAGAAAAAAAAGTATGGGAGAATGAAGAATTTAATGTGAAGAGTTTGGAGAGATTGTTATACTGAAAGGTTAGAAAAGAACATATATATACTGAAAACTGACCTCCTTCACTGTCTCTGCAAGTTCAAGCATGGTAAATTCACCTGCATTCATATAAAACATATCTAGGTAAACAACTGCATGATTACGTTATAAATTTCAAGTAGCCTATTAAGAATGCAACAAAAGCACATCAGCATCTGCAAAATAACCTGGGTTTCCAATGTTGATTGGACCAGTGTGTTCACCTTCCATGAGACGAATGAGGCCATCAACCTAAACAATTTTAATCAAATATAATTATGCTCAAATAATTCTGAAAGAATGAAAATCATAGTGCTCTATAGTTGGATTGAATTCTTGCCTACCATGTCTGAGACATAACAGAAACTGCGAGTTTGTGTCCCAGGCTTTTGAACTGTCAATGGTTCCCCACTACAAGGTGAAAAAGAATAGTAGAAGTTTACAATTAATCAAAGCAAGGCAACCAACTACCAGGGGGATAAGAAGGTCTCTTATTAGGGCTTGATATTAGAGGACAAGAAAGTTCAAAAGTGGAGCTGATTGCATGCTCTAATCAATAAATGAAGCACGGGAATTTACCGAAGTGCTTGAGCAATGAAATTGCTGACAACACGGCCATCATCAATGTTCATCCGAGGCCCATATGTGTTGAAAATTCTAGCAATGCGAATTTCTAGGACCAAAAAAAGAAAAAAAGAAAAAAAAAAGCTTCGTAAATTAATGGGGGAAATATTATCAACAAAAAGAATAACTTCATTCACATAAGCAAAGAAAAACATTATTACTAAACAAAGAAAAAAAAAAAAAAGAGCAACACATTTACCAATCCCATGCTGCCTATGGTAATCAAACATAAGTGTCTCAGCCACACGCTTCCCTTCATCATAGCAGCTGCGAACCCCTATAACCAAAATGGTAAGGCATTTCTTGCCAAGATTACATTGCCATGAATGATGTACAAAAAACAACCATGACAAGCGTCACAATGAGTGTGAAAAGGCAAATGTAAGCATTCTCACGTATGCAAGGATGACCACTGGTATACATGTCAACTCAAAGAACTTACCAATTGGGTTAACATTACCCCAGTAGCTCTCAGGTTGTGGATGCACAAGAGGATCTCCATATACCTCTGAAGTTGAAGTCAGCAAGATCCTTCCAGAAGCAGCATAATTTAGTAAAACAAGTACTAAGGCAGGGGCAATAGTAATTAAACAGAACCAACTTTGCTAACCTAGCTCCAACACGCTTGGCAAGTCCGAGCATGTTCAGTGTGCCAATTACATTTGTCTTTATTGTCTGAGGAATATCATAGGGTTCCAAGTCAGAAAAATTCTTGTGACCAATAAATGTTTCAAAGCATAAGCATGTGTGTACCATATCCCATTACATAAGCTCCAATTATAAAACATCCCAAGCTTAAGAAAAAGGTAACTAAATTCACTTCAATTAGAAACGTTTATAATTAATGCACCTTTACAGGGTTGTATTTGTAGAAAATTGGAGAAGCAGGGCAAGCAAGATGGTAAATCTGATCAACCTCAACCAACAATGGCTCAGTGACATCTACAAAGAATTAAAAGAAACAGATAAAAAGGGGTTTTCTGGCCACAACAGTAAGTAATTCTGAACCAGATCAAGTACAGCAAGAAAGAGTCTTACATTCAATGAAGAACATAATTTTGAGAAGAACAAAAATATTTTACAATTATCAATATAAATTTGCTTGTGCTTACATTCTATTTAAATGATAAGAAAACGTTCAAATTACCGTGACGAATTAGCTCAAATCTTGGATGACCAATCCACTTTCTGAGATTGTCCTTGGATCCAGTAAAGTAGTTATCAACAACAATTACCTAAGCATTAAAGAACAAACCGCACAAATTAACAATGAAATGCAGTCATCTTGCGGTCATCTTTTCCAAATCAAGCACAAGCAACAATGAACAAACTAAGAATGGACATGGAAAAATGACAGACTAACCTCATTCTTCTCATTCTCCATCAATTTGTCCACTAGGTGAGAACCAATAAATCCAGCTCCTCCAGTAACCAAAATTCTCATATTGGACTGCCATAGACAATCAGAGATGTTATTAACAGGAATGTTTATTGAGTATGCTTGAATTTGTTAGAACAAAATCAGCATCATAAGCTATACGTTGCAGTGCAGAAAACAGAGAAAAAGTGCATGTTTTGATCCAAAACATGAATAAATAAGAGACCAGAAAGAAGGAGATCCATAAACTAATGACAAAGCAAAGAGAAAGGAAAAGATGGGCAAGATCTCCTATGATAACGATATAAGACAAATCTAAGGCCATATGTTTAACCAAAACAAAGAATCTCCAATCTTGCAAGTCATTGGGTGCAGCATACATTACCACTTTTTCCAGCCAAAAACAACCTGCTTAGTTAGGAAAATAGTGGAGGTTTCCTCACTGAAATATTCTTTGCAATGGATCTGGAATCATTTCCTGGAACGTCTTACTTGTATATTGCTCTCATTAATACGTTGGCATTCATTTTGATAATACAGAAAATTACACATCTACTACTCAAAATGAAAAATGTTGCTCTCAGAACTTTATTTAAAACAATTTAAAAACACATTTGCCAATATGCTTCTGCGTCATGTCATTAGCAAACAGTTTACAGATCCAAGCAGAATGAAAACACTGACATAATGTAAAACAGGTTTGATCAATTTAGTGTTCTACAAGTAAGGTTTGAGCTGACACTCAATTACCCTCAGTTTGATTTTTGATCCATTTACTGCATTTCAAGTGAGGTTATGCTAAAATAAGACTACCCATTTCACATATAAAACATTAAATTCCCCCAACTGTGTGAGTTATCTCATGTGCAATTGGACCATACAATCATATATCTTCTGCCCCACAATAATAGCTCTATACTCTGTAGTCTTTATCCAGAAGCTCACAACAATATAACTTTTTTTCTATTTTTTTACATGTTGTTAGTCACAAAAAGAGACGCCTCTATAGATAGGTAAACATCACAATCAGTCAGTAATTAACATGAACGAAAGGAGACGGCCAAAAATATTAAAAAAAAAAAGAAAAAAAGTGACAGTGCTGAAACGAGAAACAAAATCAAGAACCTGAAAAAACTTGGAATTGCGCAATGGAGACGGCAATGGTGGTGGCTTTGTGGTTGTTTGATGATCTCCGTTTGAGGAAGTCGTCGCCATTGCTCAGATCTACTCTTCCACTCAATATCTGTCACAAATTCCCATTCAATCAGATTTACGATACAAACATACATACTACTACAAACTTCACTGCTAAGAATTGAACTTCAGATCAGAAACTGAAATCAAAAGCAAGAATTCCAACAAAAAGACCTGCTCTTGAAATTCAAACAAGTATCGCCCAAAACCCTAATGAATCTGTATGATCTCTCACACAAATTTCGAGCTTGTTTTTATAGCCCAAAAATGGCAGAAAAATGGAAGCTTCTTCCACCAAATTCAGAAATTTTTTTTAAAAAAAAATAAATATATAAATAATGAATCAGAAACGAAACCTTCAAAACTACGAAAAATGATTGATAGCTCCTCGATAACAACAATAAAACACAGATCGGTAGATCACACCAACCGAAATAATTAGAGAATAAATTTTCCTAGCATTTTTTTTTTTTAATGTTGTTTAGCTTAATAATAATTAGCAACAGGAGATTTCAGGGATATTTGGGGGGGAACAAGATGAAAATTAGGATAGTTAATTACAGCAATTAGTGAGTTGGGAAGTGAGATTAGGGAGCTGCGACAGGATATGCTTTTGTGGGGGGGGAAGGAGGTTCTATACTTGAGTTGAAAAGGACAGAAGAATAGATACTCCTCCTGAGTAGAGAGTTCCCCTAAATCCATGCTGGAGCTGAGTTGTCTCCTGGTTTTAAGCCATTAAGTGTGGTGCCACGTGTGCGGGTTAATTTTGTTCCGGACCCATCCTGTTGGAAAATTAACAGTTTCCTGGAGTGTTCAGGTGTCCTGATTGGTGGATTTGGTTCTTTTCGTTGTTAAGCGGGGTCCACAATGATTTGACATCCTTACGAAACAATAGAACTTGAGTTGTAAATTAAAAAAGATTTTTTTAATCTTTCTAAAAAAGTGTTTGACTGTAATTTTAATAATTAACTAATAAAATTAAGAAACTTGTGGTATTAATATTAAAATTAATAATAATTGTTTTGTGTTTTATTATGAGTTAATGATTAAAACATTTATTATTTATACTTTAAGCTGTGTTCATTGTTGGGGGGTTAGAAAAACCATAAATCCTAATTAAAAATATAAATTTTGGTACCACATGTACCTTGTGGCTGTAGTTTAGTGGTAAGAATTCCACGTTGTGGCCGTGGAGACCTGGGCTCGAATCCCAGCAGCCACAAATTACTTTTATGTTTCGATGAATGGATTGAGTCTTCGTTTGGGCTATTCTGCTTATTGGGCTAAACTAAAATGGGTTTGAGTGTTTGATTAGCCCGTGCTTGCAATCAGCAAGTTTTGAAATTGGAAAGCCTGCTTTCCTTTTTCTTTTCTTTTTTTTTTCTTATTTGTATCTTTCAATAACATTTTACCTTTTTTTTTTTTTTTTTAATACTTGTGTGTTAAATTTTCTTATTTATTGCACCTAGCTTTTGTTTCTCTTGGATAATGTGCATCTTTGCTACGTAAGGCTTCAAATTTGGTCAGAGTGATTAGGCAGCAATAATCCCTTTTCTAATAACATAATAAAATTTATTATAAATTTATAATATTATATGATATTATTGTAATTATATAACAAGAGTGTCTTTGTTTCCTTTCCAATGTTTTATAGTATATTATTAAATAAAAAAATATATAAAATATTATATATATACTCTTAAATAAAAAAATTAATTATATAATAACATAATAAAATTTATTATAAATTTATAATATTATATGATATTATTGTAATTATATAACAAGAGTGTCTTTGTTTCCTTTCCAATGTTTTTCATGGTAGGTTAACCTTCATAAGGCAATTTGAACAAGACATAGAATAAGCACAACCTTGTTAAGAGTAATAATGAAACGAGAAAGTGTTTTATAATCTAAAGTAATTTAAATTATAAAATACTAATTGTTTAATGACACTTAATCTTTTAATATTAGAAATTCTTCATCAAAACACTTTCTATTTTATAGTTTAAATTAATTTAAATTATAAAACAAGATCCTCGCAATGAAATGACATTTTCTCCTAAAGTATTGGAATAAGGAGCGCAAAATGTCGGAAATAAGCAAGTATTGACTATTGACTCAGCGAATGCAATAAACTAAAGCAAGTATTTCAGATAAGCAGACTTAAAAATGAACTCCTGCGACCTGTGCATGAAAAAATAACATTTCATTCCTTCTCATCAACAAAGGAAAAAGACTGAAAATGTAAGGCGATGACGTCACCCACTCGGATAACACCATTATCTTCCAAGCGTTATGTTCCAAAATTTCAAATATAAAAGTTGAAAAATCTATGCTCATGTTCAAATATAACGAAACTTCACCCAAAGCAACAAACCGCGTCTGTATATCAAGCAAAAATTATGGAGCAAGACCCTACGATTAACTCAGTGCATTGTCTCGTAGCTTGAGGAAACAAACAAAGAAACAAGAAAGGCCAAACAAAAAAAAAAAAAAAGGAAGAAGAAGAAAAAAGAAAAGAAGAAAGATTATAGAAAGTATTGATTATATAAAAGATTAAAAGTGGGTTTTCTCTGGATTTCCACTAACCTCATTCATGTCGCTGATTCTTCAGCTAAATCCTCTTATCAAATGCATCAGTGCTGCAAGTTGGTTAAAGCAAATCTTCTACTTGTACACTACTTTCTCACCAAAATTTTATATAACAAAATTAATTAGTTAGTTTCTCTTACAAAAAACAAAGAAGCATATATGGTTTTCCTGGTCCTTAATTACAATGTCCTAATTTGCTTACATAGTTGAATATGGAGCTCAAGAGCTCAGGGAGTCATGCTCGGTGCTCCATATTTCATTGAAGAGGCGCACAGGGACAACTGGACACTCTCCCCTTGAATTGACTTCATGTGAGCTGACATCAAACAAGAAGTTGAGAATGGCTTCCCCCAACCAATGGCTCTAGGCCTGAAGCAAGCAACCTTTTGTCAGCAGTCCCAGGCAGTTCTACCGTGTAACACTGGGATCCAGTGTCAAATGACACGTTGCTTATCTGCATCGAAGAAAAATAGTAGGAATAAGTGTTCAGAGTTGATTGTTAAGAATATGCATTCTAATGTTAAAAAATTGTTAATGCATTTCTGCAATATAACAATTGTATCCACAATTTCAGGAAACATACTACTTAAGAATTAATGGAAGATAGGTAGGAATAAACAGATTCCTTCCAAGAGATTTGAGACAAATAAAACAAAATCCAAATTCATGGAAACATTTCATTAAGATGATTAGTGAATAGCCCAACTAACGAAAAGAAGCCAGTGGTGCAAGGCATAAGAGGCGGGTCTTTATCAAGGCCAATGGCCCAATCACCTTGTCAATGAGGAACTATCACTAGCTATAAAGAGGTGAGTGGTTGTTAAGAAGACATAAAAAGGAAGTGGTGGGGGGGTGATCTGTTATAACTGTTTGATTCGTTTGTGTGGAATGCTGACAATTCACCAGGGTCTTTCATGCACATAAAATATTGCCACCACAAGGATCATTAATGTGACAGACCAATACCAAAACTAACAATATGTTCACACCTATATATGCACCATAGTGTTTCTCACACAAATTCAAGCAGCAATCCTAAATATTCAACTATTCGAAAATACTAGATCCACAACGAAAGGCAGGATAATTTCTAATTAGACAACTGTGTTTTCTTGTTGAACTCAACACAAGATGCAACTCTACAGTCAAGTTAATCACTTACACAGATATATACAATTCCTTAATTATGCTACCAGAGCACAAAAAATGTAGGAATTGGAAAATAGAAAGATAGTGCTTCCAACAGTATCAATCATTCCAAAATCCATGGAACATTTCCTATGTCATTTCTAACCACTCAAGCTTTACTAGTTTCAACTTTAACTTGAAGTTATCCTATGATATTAAGTA